CAGTTGAGAGAAACCAAGTGTGACACCTGGTCCCTAGGCCTTCATATAGAATAGTGATTGGAACCTGGCCCAAAACACTCTTACATAAAGGGTGCCAAGGGAATTTTGAGGTATCCTTAGGGAACACAAGACCTGGTCCTCGTCTATTTTTCAGAAGGTTCTTTTGACCTGGTTGGATATGCCGATGTTGATTATGTTGAATATCTGGCGGATAGAAAAAGCACATCTGGAACAACACATTTTCTAGGGTCATGCTTGATCTCATGGGGTACAAAGAAACTAACTGTGTGGCTCTTTCTGCTGCTGAAGCTGAATATGTAGTTGCTGCTTCTTGTTGTGCTCAACTACTACAGATCAAGCAACATCTTGAAGACTTTGGTGTATTTACAGTTTGAACCCGGTACAACACAAGAGGACAAAGCGCATTGATATGCGACATCAGTTTTTGAGGGATAATGTTGTAAAGGTTCTGATTTGTATGAAGCACTGGAAGACGGAGGACCAGGTGGTAGACATCTTCACCAAGGCGTTGAGCAGTGACACTTTGAAAGAAATCGTCTGGAGTTGGGGTTGATCAAGCTTAACTAAGGACCTGGTCCCTCGATGATTGACTATGTTAAGAAGGAAGGTACAATGCTAAAAAGTGTTTTTTGGCGACATCAAACTCAAATCTATACTGTTACTAGTATAACATGGCAGTTTCAGGACAAAACAAGTAAGAGTTACATTGACCTTCTGGGAGTCTTTGATCAAATTTTTAAAAACCGTCAAGGAACTTGCCTGTGACAGGTTAGTAGTCTCTTCAATACTTATATGCCTTTTTAAACTGGTGAAGTGTAATGTCATTAATTTATTCCCAAAATGTTAAACCTTTTTTGAATGACCCGTTGCCCCGAAAAACCATTTCCTTCTCTCACACCCAAACAAAACTGATTTTTTTCCTCAAAACCAAATCAACCTTATCTAAAAAAAGAATCCTTCTCTCCAAATATGCCGGAAGTGAATCCAACTCTGTCACCTTCCAAAATCCTAACTCCATCTTAATCGAAACCCAAGAAGCCTTTAGTAGATTTTGATGGGACTTTAACTGAAAAGGAATGGGGTAGATCTTGTATTCTAGAAAGTGAGACCGAAATTGATGTTGGGTTTGTAGAAGCCTTGAAAAATGGAGCAATTGGTGAATGTGCCGGAAAAAGGGGGAACTGAATGAGGGAACTGGTCCCTCAAATCCTTCTTAGGATGTTAATTCTGATGATGATCTTTTTCTCTTGGGTTCTGTGCTTAAACTAACCTCTGATCCAGTAAAAAGGATTGAGAAAAGTAGGTTGATTCATGATGAAGTGTGTGACCTGCTGATATGGTGATTGTGGAAGAGAGAATAAAGTGGAAAAATCTTTATTTGTGAGAAAGAATTCAAAAAAAATGGAGCAAAGGAAGTTGGCTGAGAAAGATGCAGTAGATGATAAGTCTGAACAAATTGAGAAGAAGAAGAGGGAGACATGGCCACTTAGCGAAAGAAAGGGTAGTGTGAGTGAGGAACCTGGTTCCTTACAGAAGCAAAAGGTTGAGTTATCGGGTTTTGAGAGATAGAAAACTCTGATTTCTCAAAAAGTGTTGTTAGGTAGAGTGTTGACTTTGATATTACTGAAACTGGAGGAACTTCTTGACATTGTTGAGTTATAGAAATAGAATCACCTCTTTGTTCCTCTAAGTCCCAACGTTTATGAAGAAGAAGTAAAAACTTCTATGTTGTATGTGTTACTCTAATGCTATGTGTGCATGGGACTGAGCTTGTTCTTGATGAGGAGAAGCTTGGGGAGATTCTAGGTGATCTGATTGATGGTTCAGCCTGCTCAGATTGGTAGAGAACCAGGTCCCCGTGGACCCTTGGAAGAATAGAATGCTAAGTTGAAGGGTGAGAATGAAAGATTGAGGAAACAGGTGGAGGAACTGAGAGAGCAGATGATCATTGATCAAATGATTGTGAATGAACGAATTGACAAGCACATCAAGGCCTTATCCCCTTACTTTTCTTCCTGCCCAGTGATCCATGTCTTTAACTCCTTCCAAATTCCCTCGAATTCATATGTTTTTGATGACATTGGTACTTTAGTTGTTTAAATTTTCATATTCTGTATTCTTGAAACTACTATACTTTTGTTATAATCACTTTACTATGGGCAATCACTCTATTTTATGCAATGACATTCACTTGTTGTTCTTGTTATTGTTTATGATGTGTTGCCCAAGTGGCATGAGTTAATGTTGTTAAACTTCTTCTTGGTTGTGCTTCTTTTGTTATTCTTTTCGTTGATGCCAAAAGGGGGAAGTTATACAGATGTCAACATGGGGGAGGAACATAATCGAATTGATATATTGTGTTTTGCATGAAAGATAGCTCTGCTTCGCAGGGGGAACGTTGCTGATAACATGTTAATTCTAGGTCCGATCCGTAAGGAAACATGTGAGGACTCTGCTTCTCAAGGGGAACATTAATTTTGGGTTTGTCATCACCAAAAAGGGGGAAATTGATAAGTTATTTTATTTTGTGTCTTGATGATTCGCCAAACAATCTTGAAGAACTACTTGTGATCAGTTCCTTTGGTCTGGTTCTCATAGGGAATATGGCTGATTCATAGGGGGAACAATGTGGAGATCTGGTTCTCAGGGGGAATATCAATTCTAAGTTTGTCATCATCAAAATGGGGAAATTGATAAGTTATGCGTCTTTTGTTTTGATAATTTGACAAACTTCATGAGAGAACCAGATAAGGAACCTGATACAATTAGTTCTCTTACGTTTAGAGTAACTAGTCAGAGGTGTGGTTCAATTATCAACAAAATCAGATAAGGGAATAGCAGAGGGAAAGATATGGATCAGTTCCCCTAGTCGTCGTATAGGCAACTCTACAGCTTTAAACATTCTCAAGACCTTAATATCATAAGGTTCCAGGTTGGGATCCAGTTTGGGATATGGCTCAACTCTTCAGAGTCATAGGAAGAGCTAAGGGAACAGGTCCCTACCAGTTCCCGAGGTGACTGTACAAAGTCAACTCTCCAGTTGGAAAGTTGCTACCTGCACACGCTACAGTACGGGAATAGTGCAGCAGTCAACTTTCTGTGGAAAGCTTTTTACCTACCTTGCTTACATCATCCAAGTGATGTCACAAATCAGATATTAACATCAAGCAAAGGTAAAATAAATCACTTGCACATTCAAGAACTTATCAAGCATTCTCTCAAGTGTGTGTCCATCTTGCAAGTGATTCTCAAGGGCATCAAGAACAAAGAACAACATAGCAACGGACCAGTTCCCCATATTGAGTTATTATATGTCCTTAGTTGTGTTGTATCTTTGTTGAAGTTCTTACTTGTAATTCCTATTTGGCTTACTTAGAAGCATTGTGTAGGAAACCCTTTGTAAATCATAAACCCTTGTGTTTGTGTCTTGGCTAGAGTTAGTCGAGTTGTGAAGTCTTTGTAATAGAGTTATTACAAAGTGGCTTGTAATAGTGTTGTTATAAGTTAGTGAGTGATTAAGTCTTTGTAATAGAGTTATTACAAAGTGACTTGTAATAGTGCAGTTACAAGTTAGTGGGGGATTAAGAGGTTACTTACTAGGTTACAATAGGTTGTAATCTAAAGATTGCTCAGTAGTGTAGTTGAAATCCTACAAGGGTAGGTCGTGGTTTTTAATCCCGTTGAGCTAGGAATTTTCCACGTAAAATTCCTCTGTGTCATTTACCTACTGCAGTGTGCGCGTATTCTTTATTTACTGCCAATTTACTGTGGGAACAGATAGAGAACATGGTTTCCTATACTATTTGATTTTATAGTCTGTTGCTTACTGTGGGAACTGATAGAGAACCTGGTTCTCTATACAGTTTGGTGGAGGCTTAGTTTCTGTCACATAGTAATAAGAAGATGACAGAGCTTTTTGAAGAAGATTAGAGAAAGATGGAAGCATGAGGAAGTTAAGTGCAAAGAGGTTAAGAAAGCTTATGAAGTTGTTAGAAGTAAAAAAGAAGAATGAGACAGATAAGTAAAGGTTTAGACGGCTAAAATCGTGGTCATGATTACCTCGAGAACCGGCGACAATATAGCTAAATCATAGGGTAACACGTGTTCGGAGTATTAAATGCGAGGAGACATGCATCTTATCAAGCGTTAGAAACTATTCAGAAGGGTTTAGAAAATTTCTAGCCAAGAAAGGAATCTTCACCAACTTTCCAATAACACAAAGATGTGCCACCGGAAAGCAGGTGTATCTGTATAGGGTAAAATTGATTTACGTTAAATGGTCAAATGACGGCGTGACACGTGGAATCGGAGGCGAACGGAAGATAAATCGACTAGAAACCAAGACCGAGGACAACAGCTTCGATTGGTACCGGATAGATCCCAAAGGGAACGCGGTCAACGGAAGCAAACGACTGTTTGTCACCAGATGGCATTTAGTGAAGAATATTCCTCAGTATTAAATATGCAGCCATTGCAGAGAATTTTGGCATTCATGGCATGCCGTTACATATTAATCAATTGCCCCCTTTATTGTCATTCAAGAGGGGCTTGATCAAGGAACTTGCTCCTTATGTATAGCTATAAATAGTGGCTTCAACAACCATTGTAACACACGAAATCTCTGTCAAAACTTATGCTACAATTTATTCTCAAGCTAAATAATACAACTTTATTTTCTGTCTAAGTACTGTTCTTATCACAGTCTCCGGAAGCCTTGCTCCCGGAACCAGGCTTGCTATTTCTTTTGATTTCATTGCTAAGTCTTGCTTTTTTCATTTAATTTATTTATTATTTTGGGAAAATCAGTTCGCTTATTCATAAACCACGCAAAAAAAATTGAACTGTACCGTTTTACGGGTAAACAGACATATAATTACAACATAAGTATAAATCGCCTCAAGGAAAGTAAAGAATATTAGGAAAAACGTTTTAATTACCCATATAAAATGGAAGGTGCCATAGTACTCCTTGATCAGACAGTTACATTAACACCATTTTACTACTATAATCCAGATGGCATAGTAATCTTGTGCTTAACACAAACTAAGTTTTATTTTAAATTGTGAAGGGGGCCAATAATAGCCAAAGAGTTTAAGTTAATTTAGGAGTAATAACTAAGTCAAAACTAGCTATGGTGTACACATATCTGATGTATAGAGAATGAACTATTTCCAAATAATTAAACTGCAAAAGAAGTGATATTCCTTCCAGTCTTGAGTTGCAGAATCTGCTGTAATTCCTCGGCACGACAAGGAATTTCAAGAACACCCTTTTGTACGAATCCATATTCATCTTCAGCTTGCTTCAGTAAATTCAAGAATGAAGGATTTGCAAGCCAATGCAGCTCAACTACAAACCTCTTTGGCTCCTCCTCAGGATTCACTGTGAAAACAGCAAAATGTCCTTCTTTTACATCATTAGGAACCACTTCATCATTTGCTCTCGGCGTTTCTACAAATTCACGAACAGCTTCATGAGTTTCGTGTCTAATAATTGATTTGGGAATTAGTTGAAGATGAGTCTTGAGCTTTCCCATAATAAGCTTAAGTTTGACCATGCAATTTGTTCTTTCTTTCCTCATCATCTTATATTTGTTGAATCTGCTTTTGGGTTGTGATGATAATTGTACTAGGATTTGTTTTGCTATTCCCAAAGAGATTGAGAAGGCAATTTATACAAGCAGTTGAAGGAAATAAGAAGCAGATGAAACTTCTAAGATGTTGAGCTCATAGGGTCCATTCCATGTGCTAGCAAGTTGCAACACATTGTAACGTCAATGAATGCAACATCTAATTAATTTTTTTCTGTCGTTTCTTTAAGAAAAATTCTGTGTGTCTCTCTCTCTGTTACTCTCTTCTGATCATATTAACAAAATTCAAAGTATGTGGGTTAATTTTCTACTCGAATTTTGATATAAATTGCCGTAGAAGGATCGAATTGTATCCGAATTTTTTCAAATAAACTTTACTTGTTCTAAAATAGCATATGAAAGTACTATATCGAAGCAAAAAAAAAAAAAGACCCATATAAAGTACTATATATATTACAATAATTAATAGCTTAAAATATTGAAACAACACTTAAAAGGATAGTTAAGGAAAATTTTCTTTAAACAGAACACATGGAATAGAATTTTATATAAGTTTGCATTTTAGATTAATTTCCTTGGACGTTAATGGAAACGCGGTACCATATTATGATTGAGCTTCCCAACCTCTGCATTTAAAAAAAAAAAAAAAAAAAAAACGGGGGGAAAAGGGGGGGGGGGTTAGGGGGGTGGGGGGTAG